CAAAAAGCACTCGCCAAAAAGAGAAAAAAAAAGAGGAAAAACGCGCGATTTCCTCCGTCCTCAGGCGCCGGTCCCAGGCACCCACTCACCGGTCCCGCTGCCCTGCCTCCCTAGCACCAGGGTCCCTGTCCCTTTAAGGCTTCCAAAAAGCACTTGCCAAAAAGAGAGGAAAAAAAAGGGGAAAAAATGCGCGATTTCCTCCGTCCTCAGGCGCCAGTCCCAGGCACCCGCTCACTGGTCCTGCTGCTCTGCCTCCCTAACACTGGGGTCCTTGTCCCTTTAAGGCTTCCAAAAAGCACTCGCCAAACAGAGGGGAAAAAAGGGGAAAAAATGCGCGATTTCCTCCGTCCTCAGGCGCCGGTCTCAGGCACCCGCCCACTGGTCCCGTAGGGAAAAACGCGCGATATTCTTTGTCCTCAGGCACCAGTCCCAGGCACCTGCTCACCGGTCCTGCCGCCCTGCCTCCCTAGCAACAGGGTCCCTGTCCCTTTAAGGCTTCCAAAAAGCACACGCCAAAAAGAAAAAAAACCACTCCGGTTTCTTTCCACACGCCAGGAGCCGGGGGGAGGGGCGCTCATGTCCCGCCGGGCTGGGGCTTGTATCTTACCCCCTTCACAAGGTGCTGGGTTCTTGCAGGTGTGGATGTGGTCTGGATGTTGTCCTGTGTCCTCTGGTCTCTATTTTAGGAAGGGTTTTCTTCGTTATATTTTCATAGCTCTATGTGTTTTGGGGAGGAGATTTCCACTGCTCTACTCACGCCATCATCCTGGCTCTGCCTGTACTAGTGATTTTTACCATTAATATTTAATAAAGTTTAACATTATCAAATATAGAAAAGTAGAAAGAACAATTCTATCATAAGATTATCATTGTTACATTTGGTATTTTTTGGATATTTATTTCTTCTCATAAATGTTCTGTGTATATAGATTTGTTTGGTAGTTGGCACACAGATTGCAGAAAGACGCCTTGTGAACTGGAGTTCATGAGATGATCTTGAAATCTTTTAAGACATTTACCTCCTTTATTAGCTCAAATTTATTTCTTCTCTGAAGTTATAACTATATATTATTCTTTCTTCATTGTTGTATTATGCTATTTCAACTCATGAACATAATGCCTACAGACTATTTCATCAAATGTTCATGCCAAATTTACATAATCATTATTCTAATTCTGGAATATTATTTTCAATTTTTCATTCTGAGATAAATAGCTTCATACAGCAAGTCACTTTTTTTTTCCTTTTTTTTCCCTTATGACAGACTGCAACAGAAATGTGAGTAGGCCAAAGGGAAGGATGCACTTGATAGATACTTCCTATCACTTCCACTAAGATCAACATACAAAATGGACCAGGTACATGAATATATATGCAGGTTTGGGATCTGATCACCCAAGGCCAAGTATCCATTCCTGGAGGGTTGGGTTATTACCAAAAGAGCTTCTTCTGTCTTCATTAGGCAAATGTAAGAAGCCAGTCACATTCTTCCTTTTCCTGAGCCTTAGCTTGGTATGTACTACTATTTATGATATTTGGTCTTTTTTATCCAAAAATAATATATCTTGTAATTCTAAGTTATTTAATAGTTTTCTACAAATGGATCCTGCTTATTTTTCACTAACATAATTCATAGCTATACTAAACCTTTTGTTGCTATTGTGAATACCTATTTCTTGGGCTTTCATTTGAGACTGTAGCTGTGCTTAAGGCCTAGAATTTCCTAAGTGTTACTGAAACTTTTTACTGCTCTTCTACATACTGCAGTAGCAAATAACCCTACTGAATATATACATGATCCTTTCAATATCCTTGCATCTTCTTGAACTGCATGTTGAAAATAAACTGAACTTCTTTGAAATTCTAAAACATTCATGCAGAAAGTCTAATTTTCTAGTGAAAAATCCACAAAATTCCTTAGGGTTACAAAGAGATAGAGTCAATTGCTACTCACTAATGCCTTTTCTAGATGTTTTAAGAACTATATTAATTTGAACAATACTATTATTGCTATTAATAAGACGTCAACCTCTAAATGAAATAAAACATTTTGAGAACAGAAAGCATATACTAATAATTTATTTAAATTAGGTAACCAAACCTATTGAAAAATGAATAGAATTCACATTACTTTTAAAATATTTTCATTACTAAGTTAGAAAAACATATCTTAGAAGGAAACAAAAATGTGATATCCATTTCTAAGAGTTCTTTTGAAATCTCTTTCTCCCACAGTATTTATGTAAATGTATTACACACCATTTCTCTTAATTTCATATTACTTTATATAGGACAAATTGATATATAATGTGTGGTGGATACAAAAATTAAATCCAAAGTTAAACTATGCTTTGCCACCTCTGAAATGACATTGTTCCACATGAATTAAAATTTATAGTTGTAACTCATGAATATATTCTTGCACATATAAAAATTAAGCCATTTAGAAAAAGCAGTTCCTGTGTGCTGACCTCCAATGAGTTCTACACAGTGGTATAGAGGGCATGTCAAAGTGTGGGCAAAGGGTCTGTTTGTTTTTTTGCAGAAGATCAAGGCCTAGCTTGGCTGCCCAGAAAATTAACTAAGATACGATATGAGGAGGAGCTTCTGGCATCAGCACTCTCTGGAGGACTCGTGCCGGGGGATGATCATCAAAAAACCTCCACAGGGATCCGGGC